ACAGCAATATGTACAGTGGAAATCCAGCTTTGACACTTGCCTCAGAAGCTGGGTTTGGCTCTTGACCTGAGCATAACACAAAAGCAACCTCCAAACAATGACACTTAAGCAACAGAAAGGATAGCATTGAGACATTATCTCTCTGTTCTTGCCCCCAGTCTTACCAACAGATAAAGAATCCTTCACTTAAAAACAAAGAAGGATGCAGTGGAGGATGGCCCAAGTGCTTGGTCCCTGCACCCGCATGGGAGACCAGGAGAAGCACCTGGCTCCTGGCTTCAGATCAGCGAGGTGCACCGGGTGCAGTGCGCTGGCCGCGGCGGCCATTCATCTGGGTTTCCACAAGGATGGCAGGGGTCCAAACACTTGGGTCATCCTCTGCTGCTTTTTCCAAGGAAATTAGTAGAGAGCTAGATCAGGACTGAAGCAGTTAGGACAGGAACCAGCGTCCACATGGAATGCCAGCACTGCATGGGACAGGCAGTTTTATACATTTCACCAAATTGTAGGCCCCTGAAATATTTTCTATTTTTGTCACAGAAAAATTGGTTGTAGATGCATGAATTGATTTTTGGAGTTTCTATTCTGTTCCATTGGTCTACAAGTCTGTTTTTGTGCCAGTACCAGACTGTTTTGAGTATAACCGCCCTGTAGTATGTCTTGAAATCTGGTGTTATGATGCCTCCAGCTTTGTTTTTGTTGTATAAGATTGCTTTACCTGTTTGGGGTCTCTTGTGTTTCCATAGGAATTCTAGCATCATTGTGATTCTGAGATGTGAGCTACATGGCAGCACATTATTTGGGATGAGACACCAACCTGTTTTTGCCAAATTCTTAGATAATTTAGTATGATATCATAATGATCTAGTTTCAATAATGGAGTATGATCTTCCTAAACAAAATTTGTTTGTGAGCATAGTCATTAATAATATTTAAGTAATGTATACACACACACAAAGATCATGAACATCCTGTAATAAAAGAGAACTGTGTTCCAGTCCACTGCACTCTATGTTTTTTATCTGCTATAAGATCTTGGACCTGAAGTTTTACTATTATCAAATGATCTCATTGAAGGCAAAAAAAGTCATTATTCATTTTAAATTATTAAAAATGTTCCTTATCTATTTCAACTGTTAATGAAAATAAATAATTTATCTCCTATCACTGGGCTTCTAAAAGGAAACTGGTGAAACTTATCTTATTAATATCATATTTACCTCTGCTGCAGTACCCAAATAGATACGTGCACTGTGATGTATTAGTTTGTAAGAGGTTAAATCTGAAACACAGACATTCAGTTACAACGATTCTATCACTAACCACTGTGCTATACAATTTGCCAGTGCCTGTAGCCTTAACAGGATAGACATGTCATGATACCATTGAAGTACAATCTTCAAATTTCAAAATGCAGCTAATTATGAACTCCAAAACATCATGTCATTAGAAATAATGCGCCTCTCACACAGAACTTAGTGTAATCAAAGATGACAGAGATTTGTGTTTTCTGATGGAAAATAGGGTCATCACAGCTTCTGTGACATATCAGGTTAATTTTCTTATTCTGTTAATAACATTACTATAGCATTAATTATATTAAGAAATTTGTTTTTTGAGCCGGCGCCGTGGCTCAATAGGCTAATCCTCCACCTTGCGGCGCCGGCACACCGGGTTCTAGTCCCGGTTGGGGCGCCGGATTCTGTCCCGGTTGCCCCTCTTCCAGGCCAGCTCTCTGCTATGGCCAGGGAGTGCAGTGGAGGATGGCCCAGGTGCTTGGGCCCTGCACCCCATGGGAGACCAGGAAAAGCACCTGGCTCCTGGCTCCTGCCAGGATCAGCGCGGTGCGCCGGCTGCAGCGGCGGCCATTGGAGGGTGAACCAACGGCAAAGGAAGACCTTTCTCTCTCTGTCTCTCTCTCTCTCACTGTCCACTCTGCCTGTCAAAAAAAAAAAAAAAAAAAGAAATTTGTTTTTTCAAAAGTTATAGTTCTAAGAATTGTTTGCCATAAATAATTCAATTCAGATATATGCAGATCTAGGAATTGCTATTAACAACAATTAGCAACTGAGACCCAACCAGTCAGGATAAATGGGAGAGGAGAATGTTTGAAACTGAAATTCATGTACAGATTTGAAATAGTTATTCATACATTCATTCATTCATTCATTTACTTGGGAGAGACTTAGACAAGCAAAGCTTGTATCCAGTGGTTCGTTGTCCAAATGCATGAGTCAGATTGCCAAGGCAAATCCAAAGCCTGGAGGACAGACTTAAGTTTAAATGTACCAATTGGAGAATGGAGCCACCTTCCATGGTCATCACCTGCTGCCTGCCCATGTGTGCATTAGGAGCAGAACTGGTGCTCAAACCTGGGCAAATGGACATACATATGGGCCTCCCAAAGGATGTCTTAATCAGCAAAGCCAAAAGCTCACCGCAGAAAAGGATTTTAAATCATCACAAAATCTTTCTGAAAGTCAGCTCCAGAGCAAAAAATTCATTCCACAAATTTATCAAAAGTTTGGAACCATGAAAAAAATATTGCAGAATAAGCAAATTATAATTCTCTTTAAGAGACTTAGATGCCCAACAAGTATCTTTTGATAGTTTTAAACAAGGAGTGAAATACAGAAAAAAAAAAAAAAAAGGAGTCAGGAAAGTTTCTTGCACTTCTTATATAGTGTTGGAACAGAAAAGCACAAGGTTTTAATAATCTTAACTGAAAAAAGGTAAAAATAAGCAGAACAAAATTAAAGTGCAACTTAACAGAAGAATGCCCCTACATATATGAGTCTGAATTGTGAACATTGAGGTGAATAGATTTCACCAAAAAAAGCCCCAAATGACAGAAAAATATGTATTAGATATTGGAAGACAGAGAAAATAATAATGAAAGAGATAACATATTGACAATGTGTTTCCTGAGGAGCTACAGAAAACATAAAAAGACAATTTTTCACAGAGGTACAGAGGTATCTTCTCTGAGATAAATAAATGCATGCTGACAAAGACTCAAATGAATAACTCCATTTTAAATGAAATAAAAGAATGCATATTAGTGTAGCTTTGAATTTGATTTTATGCAGGTAAAGAAGCACTCAACATGCTGAGAAAGGAAAAATGTTTTAAAAATCCAAAAGAACAGGGGCTGGTGCTGTGGCTCACTTGGCTAATCCTCCGCCTGTGGCTCCAGCATCCCATATGGGCGCCGGTTCTAGTCCCAGTTGCTCCTCTTCCAGTCCAGTTCTCTGCTGTGGCCTGGGAAGGCAGTGGAGGATGGCCCAAGTGCTTGGCGCCTGCACTCGCGTGGGAGACCAGGAGGAAGTACCTGGCTCCTGGCTTTGGATCAGCGTAGTTCCGGCCATAGCAGCCATTTGGGGTGAACCAACCGAAGGAAGACCTTTCTCTCTGTCTCTCTCTCTCTCTCACTGTCTAATTCTACCTGAAAAAAAAAAAAAATACAAAAGAACAACCAGCAACAAATACTAAAAGCTTGCTGAAACAGACAAAAATATTCAGCAAATAAAAAAAAAAATTCCCCAATACAGCAAAATGTAGAAACCAATAAACATACGTATTGAGTCATACATAGTACAAATGTGGTACATTAGTTCAGTTATTAGGATAAAAGATCATCTAATATTTCATAATGGTATTTATCTACCCTTTTGAAAATTAAAGTGACTTGCTCAAGTAAAAACATTTTATACACAGCTGAATTTTAAAATATTTATTTACTTCAAAGGCATAAGGACAGACACAGTTCTTTCACTTGTTCACTCCTCAACTGGCTGCAAAAGCTGAGGTTGGGCCCAGCTGAAACCAGGATCCAGGAGCTCCATTCAGTCTCCCACATAGGTGGCAAGAATCCAAGTACCTACACCATCATCTACTCCTTCCCAGGCACATTATCACTAGGGTGGATTAGAAGCAAAGGGACCAGGACTCAAATCTGCACTCTAAGATGGGGTGCAGGAGTCCCAGATGACTGTTTAACTTACTGTGCAACAATTCTTGCCCTTTATAATCTTAAATTTTTATCTTTGCTTTCTTTTTGTGTTTGTCAGATTTTCAAAATATCTTTGAATTATTTTGATGATAGTGTGAATCTTTAGACATCTAAAGAAAGCAGTACATAATTATTGAAAATCAACTTTTCTTACTCGTTTTGAAACATAATTTTTAAAAACCATAATAGTGCCTTAATTTTTACCTCATAGGCTAGTTATGAAGGATGTTTTATACATTTTAAAAGATTATTTTTGTTGTTATGTGTTATTTCTCTCATTATATCTCATTAAAATATATAATCATGAAATATCATTCTTTAAATCATTTAAATATATACATTTCTGTTTACATATAAATTTACATATTTGTGCTTCAAATAACTTTAAAAATTGAAGTGAATAGCTGATTTTGCATCCAGTATTTTTGCAAATAATTATTTTTAGCACCCAGAATTTAGACTTAAGTTATTAGCTGTACTCCAGTGTTTTATATTCATTCCACATAAGCTCATATTGTCTGGCCTTTTCTTCACAAATTGTCTTAAATTGTTTTCACTGATATCATTAGTAACCACTTTATTGCTAAACACATAGGGGAGTTTGTAGTTTTACATCCATTTTGGTTCCTTGGATCATATGATGCTATATTTCCTTTTTCTTTTTTTTTTTTTTAATAAAAAGCTCTTAGTTGGATTTCATGCAACACTTAACAGTCTTATTTGACTTCTCTGTTTATTTTTTCCTAATATCTTTTCCAGACTTGTCTACCTTATACTAATAAGTACCACCATATGTCTATTACATAGTATCCCTATTTTCATTTAAGATTATTATTTTGAGCTCTAAATGTTTTGATTATCAGTTAAATTGTTTTACCCCACTTTCAGATTGAACTTTACATAAAATGGGACACTTCTAGTGTGGTATTGGACAGAAGCAATGAATCTAACATTTTCAAAAATTGAATTCAGGTTACAGAGCGGAGAGAGTGAGGAGGCTGCGTCTGGCTTCCGCTCTCACAGCCATTGCAGTACATTGAGCTCCATAGAGACAACGCCAGGGCAAGTGAGAGCCGGACGGGCAGTGGGCGACTCTGTGCCTCGCTGAGGAAAAATAACTAAACATGGGCAAAAGAGATCCTAAGAAGCCGAGAGGCAAAATGTCATCATATGCATTCTTTGTGCAAACTTGCCGGGAGGAGCATAAGAAGAAGCACCCAGATGCTTCCGTCAACTTCTCAGAGTTTTCTAAGAAGTGCTCAGAGAGGTGGAAGACCATGTGTGCTAAAGAGAAGGGAAAGTTTGAAGACATGGCAAAGGCGGAGAAGGCTCGTTATGAAAGAGAAATGAAAACCTATATCCCTCCTAAAGGGGAGACAAAAAAGAAGTTCAAGGATCCCAATGCACCCAAGAGGCCTACTTCGGCCTTTTTCTTGTTCTGTTCTGAGTATCGCCCCAAAATCAAAGGAGAGCATCCTGGCCTGTCCATTGGTGATGTTGCAAAGAAACTGGGAGAGATGTGGAATAACACTGCTGCAGATGACAGGTAGCCCTGCGAGAAGAAGGCTGTCAAGCTGAAAGGAAAGTACGAGAAGGATATTGCCGCATACCGAGCTAAAGGAAAACCTGATGCATCGAAAAAGGGAGTCGTCAAGGCTGAAGAGAGCAATAAAAAGAAGGAAGAGGAGGAAGATGAAGAAGAAGATGATGATGATGAATATGTTGGTTCTAGCGCAGTTTTTTTTTTTTCTTGTCTATAAAGCGTTTAACCCCCCTGAACACAACTCACTCCTGTTAAAGAAAAAAAAAATTTGAAATGTAAATGTAAGATTTGTTTTTAAACTGTACAGTGTCTTTTTTGTATAGTTAACACACTACCGAATGTGTCTTTAGATAGCCCTGTCCTGGTGGTATTTTCAATAGCCACTAACCTTGCCTGGTACAGTATGGGGGTTGTAAATTGGCATGGAAATTTAAAGCTGGTTCTTGTTGGTGCACAGAATAAATTAGTTATATATGGGGATGGTATCTTTTATCATCTTCAGTTGTCTCTGATGCAGCTTATACGAAATAATTGTTGTTCTGTTAACTGAATACCACTCTGTAATTGCAAAAAAAAAAAAAAAAGTTGCAGCTGTTTTGTTGACATTCTGAATGCTTCTACGTAAATACAATTTTTTATTAAAAAATTGAATTCACATATACACCTATAAATTTGCCCTTTCTCCATTTCTCTTCTTAGCAAAAGTCACTGTTGATTAACAAATACGTTTGACATTTTGCTATGTACAATCTCATCCCTTACTCTTGAAGTTCAATGAACAGCAGAGTCCTCTTTTCCATGATTCCAATAAATGTGAATTTCACTTATCAATGTCTATACTAATAACTCCAGTTCCTCAACAAGTCAACTCAAATTTGACTTCATACTGAAGTTAGCTATGAAAATCATATCCAGGGTGCCGTGATGCAATAGGTCAATCCTCAACCTACGGCTCCATCATCCCATATGGGTGCCGGTTCTGGTCCTGGTTGCTTCTCTTCCAATCCAGCTCTCTGCTGTGGCCTGGGAAAGCAATGGAAGATGGCCCAAGTCCTTAGGCCCCTGCATCCACACTGGAGACCAGGAAAAAGCACTTGGCTTCTGGCTTTGGATCAGCGCAGCTCCAGCTGCTGTGTCCATTTGGCGAATGAACCAACGCAAGGAAGACCTTTCTCTCTGTCTCTCTCTCTCTGTGTCTGTAACTCTACCTCTCAAACAAATAAATAAAATATTTAAAAAAATAAAAAATAGGAAATCATATCCGTGATCAAAGATATTATGGGATATGTATTCTTTAGAATACTATACTGCAGTAAGAAACAACGAAATCCAGTCATTTGCAACAAAATGGAGGTATCTGGAACACATCATGCTGAGTGAAGTAAGCCAGTCCCAAATGGACAAATACCATATGTTCTCCCTGATCGGTGACAACTGACTGAACACCAAAAAGGAAACCTCCTGAAGTGAAATGGACACTATGAGAAATGGTGACTTGATCAGCATAGCCCTGACTGTTAATGAACAACTTAATACATTATCTCTCTTAGTATTTTTTTGTCTGTTCTACTTAATATGACTGGTTTAATTCTGTAATTATCACACAGTTATTCTTAAGTGTTGAAATTTAACTGAAATGTGATCTCTGTTAAACATAAGAGTGGGAATAAGAGAGGGAAGAGATGTATAATTTGGGACATGCTCAAGCTGACTTGCCCCAAATGGTAGAGTTAGAAACATACCAGGGGACTCCAATCCAATCCCATCAAGGTGGAATGTACCAATGCCATCTCACTATTCCAAGTGATCAATTTCAGTTCACAATTGATCATAATGAAAGAACTAAGAGTCAAAGGGAGCACATAAACAAGTCTAGTACCTGCTAATACTAACCAATAGAATAAATAAAGGGGAGAGTGATCCAACATGGGAAGTGAGATACTCAGCAGACTCATAGAATGGCAGATGTCCTAAATAGCACTCTGGCCTCAGAATCAGCCCTAAAGGCATTCGGATCTGGCTGAAAAGCCTATGAGAGTATTTCAGGCGTGGAAAGTCAAGGCACTCTGGCAAAAAGATCTCTGTGAGTGAGATCCCATTGGAAAGAACAGGTCTTCAAAGAAGGAGGTACCTTTCTCTGAAGGGAGGAGAGAACCTCCACTTTGACTATGACCTTGTCTAAACAAGATAAGAGTCAGAGAACTCAAGGGGCTTCCATAGCCTTGGAAACTCATGACTGGAGCATAGGGAGATTACTGATGCCATAAACAGGAGTGTCAATTTGTAAAGTCAACAACAGGAGTCACTGTGCACTTCCTCCTCATGTAGGATCTCTGTCCTTAATGTGCTGTGCATTGAGATTTAATGCTATAATGAGTACTCAAACAGTATATTTCACTTTGTGTTTCTATGGGGGTGCAAACGGTTGAAATCTTTACTTAATGTATACTAAACTGATCTTCTGTAAAAAAAAAAAAAGAAATTATCAATTCCCAACTTGACTCTCACTGGGATTAAACATGACAATAGGTCCTATCTGATTTCATCATCATTTAAAAAAAAATCATCTCTTATTTTTCACTTTATGTTTCTGTGTGGGAGCAAACTGTTGAAATCCTTACTTAATGTATACTAAGCTGATCTTCTGTATATTAAGATAATCGAAAATGAATCTTGATGTGAATGGAAGGGGAGAGGGAGTGGGAGAGGGGAGGGTTGTGTGTGGGAGGGACGGTATGGGGGGGAAGCCATTGTAATCCATAAGTCGTACTTTGGAAATTTATATTCATTAAATAAAAGTTAAAAAAAAAAGAAATCATATCCGGTACATACCTTATTTTTGGCTCTCCTTTTCAAAAAAATTAATATGTAAATATCAGCTGCACATTATAATCAATGACAGATTATGTTGTTTCTCTCAAAGTCGGTTAGTGATTTGGCATTGCACCTCTGTCACATCCAGACAACAATGTGTGCAATTTTGCTGTCTCCTTGACTCTCAGTGGTCAGTCATCCAGATATTTACAAAAATAGCTATTTCAAAGACAGAAGTAGCCAACAAAATTAAAAGACAACTTCTTTTTTTTGTGACAGTACTAGCAGTGAAATCCAAATTCAATGTGAAAATAATTACAGAAGAAAAAAGGGTAGCCAATAAGTATGTTAACATTGCACTGCCAGTTAGCGTAGATATTCAACCACAGGAACGTAGTGAAATTGAAATTGTAAACACAGATGGATGAAAAAATGGTTTGTGATAAAAAGGATGAATATTTTCCAAAGGTGGCAATGTCCACAAAAAAGTTTACATAAACTAACTTTCAGAGATATGTCCAGATATTTATTACACTAAAGAAAATGTTAGAAGCTGTTAAAAATTTAGACAATAGTATGAAGTCTCCAAGAAACACCAAAGATGTTTCCTTGTTTTTGTAAATTATAGGGTGGGAAGAAATCCAGAACTGCACAAACTACTCTTACTTCCACTTTGCAAAGAAATATCATGTTTTAATTTTCAGTGTTTGTAATGCCATATTTTTCAATATAGAATATTAGTTTTCTTATTTTCCACTTACCATAACATTTTAACTCATAGTAAAAGTTACTTTAATATTTTTACAAAATTTGGAACAGTTGTACATTTTCATGTTGGTTGTTAAATGGTTACACACAGTTTCAGCTTTTACAATCATTTCTGTCATGCTACAGTGCTACATAAAGTGAGAATTTCCTGTATAATAGATTCTTCTTTCTCAATATTTGTCTAATCTATCCACTGTATTTCATCCTATTTCTCCTGTCACTATTAAGACATGATATATTATCTTGAATATTAAAATAATCTATTAATTTGTTTTCCCTTAGTTTTAGATTGAATATATAGAAGCTATTTTATAGAAAGTTTCTGCATTTAACATTTCTGCTTAATTCCTTTTTGCTATCAGGGTAAATTCCACATTTCTTAACATGACATAAAAATCTATTCATATCCTGTTACCTTGCTAGTTCCACTGACATCTCTACTTGTCTCAAAAACACATAATACATTATTTTTTCTATTTTAAGATTTTAAAAACTTATATAAAGGTAACACATTTCATGTATACAGTTTTAAGAACACAATGATCCTCCCCACCCTACTCTTGCTTCCACTCTCCATCTTCCTTCCTTTCTTAACTTCCTTTTAATTTTTACAATGACATACTTTCAATTTACTTCATAATCATAAGCTTAGCCTTCCACTAAATAAAGCATACAACAAATAATAAGAAGGAAAACCACAGTTCCCCAGGAGTATAGATACAGGCTATAAACAAAACTGAAATCTCAAAAGGTTAATTTTGCTCATATATGTTACACTTGTTTGTACTTTATATATAGTTATCAAAAATCAAGAAAAACATAATATAATTGCCTGTTTGGGGCTGGTTATTTTGCATTCTTATTTTAATTTTCTCATTTCCCCTGCTACATTATGATTATTTTTACCAAAATATATTCATTCATTCATTTGTCACCTTAGTATTTGAGTATCTGATGCTTTTCAAAGATTCAAAAGGTAATAAATTTATGGTTTCTAGTAAAATTTAGTGAATGTATTCTTATCCTCTACATTGTGGTTTCAAAGTAATTAATTTATGAATAACTGCAATTTTACACATCATAAAAATACATCCTGCCAAACGAAAAAAATCTGAAAAGTTAGGAATAGGTTCAGATGATAATTCTTGGAAGGAATGAAAGGCATTGCATTTGTAATGATGTTTAAATTGTCCGTGGGAGGCTGAGGAGAAATGTGGAAGATAGCATTCCACACAGAGGAAATGGTACATGAGAAAGTCTTAAGCGATCCTAAATGTGTATATAAATGTGACTACATGACTGTAACACAATTCAGTAATACAGAGAAATTTGGAAGACATACAATATTGGGTAAAGATAGGATGATAAACAAAACAATAGCTTAATGAGATAGAAAAGGATAGGCTAGTATAACTGAAACCCAGAAATGAACTCTAAACTAGAGATATATTAT